GCGGTCACTACTGCGCATGCGCGAACCTGATTGCCGCGGTCGGGCCAAGTCCCGGCGCTCGCGTACAGGGAGGTGTACTGCGCCTGCGCCGGGACCAGCGGCGCGACGATCTCCGACAACCGCCTCCTCATGCTGCTGCCAGGTCCACAGTGTCTCATGCCATGTGCCACTTTCAGGTCTCCTCACACTGCTGGTGTGTTCAATTTTTTGACATAGGGTGCTGGCAGATTACGGGCCTCCTATAGCTGCTGCCAGGCCCCTAATCTGCCATGGGCCCCTATATACCGCCTCCTCATGCTGCTGCCAGGTCCAGAGTCTCTCATGGGTCCCTGTACGGCCTCCCATTGCTGCTGTCTCCATCGCCACACTCTGCCATGTGCCACTTTCAGGTCTCCTCACACACTGCTGGTGTGTTGAATTTTTTGACATAGGGTGCTGGCAGATTACGGGCCTCCCATAGCTGCTGCCAGGCCCCTAATCTGCCATGGGCCCCTATATACCGCCTCCTCATGCTGCTGCCAGGTCCAGAGTCTCTCATGGGTCCCTGTACGGCCTCCCATTGCTGCTGTCTCCATCGCCACACTCTGCCATGTGCCACTTTCAGGTCTCCTCACACTGCTGGTGTGTTCCATTTTTTGTCATAGAGTTCTGGCAGATTACGGGCCTCCCATAGCTGCTGCCAGGCCCCTAATCTGCCATGGGCCCCTATACCGCCTCCTCATGCTGCTGCCAGGTCCACAGTCTCTCATGGGTCCCTGTACGGCCTCCCATTGCTGCTGTCTCCATCGCCACACTCTGCCATGTGCCACTTTCAGGTCTCCTCACACACTGCTCGTGTGTTGAATTTTTTGACATAGGGTGCTGGCAGATTACGGGCCTCCCATAGCTGCTGCCAGGCCCCTAATCTGCCATGGGCCCCTATATACCGCCTCCTCATGCTGCTGCCAGGTCCAGAGTCTCTCATGGGTCCCTGTACGGCCTCCCATTGCTGCTGTCTCCATCGCCACACTCTGCCATGTGCCACTTTCAGGTCTCCTTACACTGCTGGTGTGTTGAATTTTTTGACATTGGGTGCTGGCAGATTACGGGCCTCTCATAGCTGCTGCCAGGCCCCTAATCTGCCATGGGCCCCCGTACCGCCTCGTCACGCTGCTGCTGGGTCCACAGTGTGACATGGGTCCCTGTACCGCCTCCCATTGCTCCCACTCTGCCATGCGCCACTTTGAGGTCTCCTCACACTCCTGCTGGTTTCCATTTTGTCATAGGTTGCTGTATGGCCTCCCATTGCTGCTGCCTCCACCGCCACACTGTGGCTCCAAACACTGGTTTTGGCCCCGTGACTGGCCAAATGAGTGAAGTGTGCGGTGATTCTAAGATCGACGGCACTCATCTGCATGTCATACTGACTGACAGTATTATTTCTCTTCCCCAGCAGACTCCAAGGGCATTTAAATTAAAGGTTCAGTGTTCTGTACTAATATTAAGTCTCTCTGAAGCCTAGAAACACCCTTTTTTAAGTTAAATTCACAGCGAATATATTCGACTCGAATCAAATATTTTCCACGAATTCGCCGAATCAGTCGAATCGAATTTTTGAATACTTCGCTCATCTCTAATTAGGGCCTAAAATGTTGAAGTGGATAAGACAGACAGCAGTTGTCAAGGTCAACAGATCCCTCACCCAGTTTTTTAAATGTACAGTATAACGGTACCAGACAGGGATGCCTACTATCTTCATTGTTATTTTTACTGTCTGTCAGGGCTCCGAGTATGACCAGAGGTATGTGAACTGACGCAGGGAAACGCAGGCTTCAGATATGTTATAACAATATAATTTATTAACACTAAAAATACATAAACGCAGTGCAATACTAAAACATAACAGTGCAAACGAACCAAACCAAACCACCCACAGCTAACAATACATACAATGCAAGCGTCGTCAGGCAGGCCGGGTCAATAACAATTGGGCAGGTAGGAACAGGAGGAGCAGGCAGAGAGTAGTCAGGTCACGAGCCAGGTACAGCAACTAACGGGCAGGTAGGTACAGGGGGTCAGGCAGAGAATGGTCGGGGTCACAAGCCAGGGATCAAAACAGGAGAAGTCAGCAGAGGTCCGGATCAGGCAGGGTCGGCAACGAATCAGTCAGACAGGGACAGGAACAGGAACAGGGATGCAGGTAACAAGATACAGGGGCCCAGGAAAAACACACACCAAGGCCCAGACTGCAGGTCTGGCCATCCCTTAAATACACCTGCATAATCAGCTTCAGGTGTTTGGCTGGCTGCAGGGTTGAGTCTCTGATTGCTGGGAGCACCCGCTGGCCAGCCCTGGTACTGCAACCCACAAGGCAGGTGAGTCCCACCATTACTGGCAAGTCCCTTCCTGACAGTACCCCCCCTCAAGGAGCAGCCTCAGGACGCTCCAAACAGTCCTAGCTGGGCAAAATGTTCCACCACCCGGGTCTGGTAACTGGCGGGATATCAAAGACTGGCACATTGGGCAGGACTCCGGGCAGGACTCCGGACAGCGGCACATCGGCAGGACTCCGGGCAGCGGCACATCGGGCTGGACTCCGGGCAGCGGCACATCGGGCTGGACTCCGGGCAGCGGCACATCAGGTTGGACTCCGGTCAGTGGCACACCGGGCAGGACTCCGGGCAGCGGCACACCGGGCAGGACTCCGGGCAGCGGCACACCGGGCAGGACTCCGGGCAGCGGCACACCGGCAGGACTCCGGGCAGCGGCACACCGGGCAGGACTCCGGGCAGCGGCACACCGGGCAGGACTCCGGGCAGCAGCACACCGGGCAGGACTCCGGGCAGAGGCACATCGAGCTGGACTCCGGGCAGAGGCACATCGAGCTGGACTCCGGGCAGAGGCACATCGAGCTGGACTCCGGGCAGAGGCACATCGGGCTGGACACCGGATTGTCTGGCTCCACAGCGGGCATCGGGTCACCAGGCATGACAGCGGGCACTGGGTCATCAGGCATGATAGGATCATCAGGCTGGGTAGAGACCTCAGGCTGGGTAGAGACATCAGGCTGGGTAGAGACATCCGGCTGAAGTGCGGGTGCCGAGGCACCAGGCTGAACCACGGAAGGCAGGTTCTCAGACGGCAGGCTCACCGGTTTGGATACTGGCAGGATGGTACTGGTTGGAAAGAATTTTCACTTTTTTCTGGTTTTAACTACTGGAGCAGTGCAAGTAAACGCAGGTCTGCAAACGAATGGAGCAGCTGAGGACAGAGAAGAGCTGGAAGATGGAACAGAGGAGGGAGCAGTTGCTACAGAGGACTTCTTTACAGGGTTAAAGAAAGGATAGGTGCAGCGAGTGGGAGCAGAGGACTGGTATGTGGTAGTTAGAGTATACTGGGCAGTCACTGGGGGTGCTGTCGGGGATGCAAGAAGAGTGCCTTGAGTGGAGGAATGATGTTGTAAGCTGACTGAGGCTGGGTGCAACAAGTCTGACCATGTCTGCAGTATGGGTTGAACAAAGCTGCGCTTACACAAAGCCTGTCTGGTCAAAGACTGCACTGCGTTTATACAATCTCTTAGTACCTGTGGTGAACATGCAGAATAATGCTCCAGAAAGTAATCCACATCATCCTCTAATAACCGTACCAGGGACTCTACCTGGTCGGCACTAAATGGCGGCAAAAATCCATCCCTGCATTCGGGGGTACCAGATGAAACCAACTCAGCACAAACCTGAATCAATGGCTGCACCTCAGAGAATTCTGTGCCCTGATCTAGTTTTGGCAGGTTCCTGAAGCTCCACAAATTAACAAATGGATAGAATTGAAAATATTTATAGGATGGAGGAGTTATGTCATATGAGGACAAAATGGAAAAATTTAGAAAAACATGGTGTAGTTGGTTGAAATTTAAAACCTTTGAAAGATATATGGAACTGGTGGGTATTGTAGAAAATTAGAAGACAGCAGGGAGTCTTAAATTGTGATTTTGAGGGAGAGCAATGTTGGAGATAAAGAGACAAGTAGATAAAGATGAGAAAGGATGTAAATCAGGAAGAGGATGGGGGAAAGTGGGGGGGGAAGAGGGTATTAGGGGGTATAATGGAATGGGTATATGTGAATATTTTTGTAAACGTTGTTCTTTTTATATTGGAAAATCAAATAAATGTTAAATAAAAAAAAAACATTAGTTGTTACCAACTCATCTATTGTACAAAATAATTTAGCATGTTTAACAGGCTTTTTATTAGATCTTAACATGTTGTTTCTTTTCAAGTAGGCAGATATTCAATTAGGTACTTAGTTGGAATCTGTGAAAATAACACATTTTTTTTAATATTATGCACTATAGCAATTTTAACAGTTTTGTATGCAGCTGTTCATTCCACCACTTGGCTGCCCTTGGCACCAATACTGTATCCTACATATACATTTGAGAATTGTTCAGATGACCTGCTACTAATTTTCTTTCATCACCTATGGTGGTTTGATAAGCTTAACCATCAATATATACACATGGACAGTAATCTTCGTCATATGACAAGTGGAAAATAATTGTTCGTCTAAGAAGTAATCAAATGGGTCTTTTTCATGAGAAGGAACTGAACAATCATGGAGTTCGGCTGTACCTTGGGCAACAGGACTCTCTTTATTTTGTTTATTTCGGACTTCTAATGGGCATCCTTGTAAGGATAATGTCCATACAGTTATTCTGCTGTTTGACATATTACCATCTCTGATTTTGTCATTTTGTAAATATTGCAAAGGTTGATGTGCAGTTTCCATTATTATTTTTCTCACCCTGAATGTAACTTTTAAAGTTTTGAAGGGCCCAGTTGCTAATAATGCTTTCTCATAGTTATTGAACTTGATTTCTACAGGTGACATGGATTGACTGGCATATGCAATGATTTTGTGTCAGATTGTCTTGTTTTTGATACAGTACAGCATTGATCCCTGAGGTTTGGAAAACCAGTTTCCAGATAGAAAGGTTTTCCCCCCTCTGGATAAGCTAAGCATGGGGCTTGGGTGAGTTTCCTTTTAAGCTTGTTTCTTTTTCCTGAGCCTCCCCCCATGTCCATGGTACATTTTTAATAATGTCAATAAAAGTTGTCTGATTTCTGCATAGTTATCAATAAACGTATGTGAATAATTCAGCATACCCAGAAATGATCTCAGTTCACTAATGATGGTAGGTGTTTTAGACATAATTACATCCTCCGCCTTCTTTTGTGGATTTAGGCCTTAAGAGGTAACCTCATGTCCCAGGAAGCTGACTTTGGTACGGCACCATTGGGTCTTCTGTAGTGAGATTTTAACACCTGCCTCTCTCAACAGATTAAGCACGTCTAATTTCTTGGATATGCTTTTGGAAAGAAGTACTTTGACAAAATATCATCCACATATGTTACATTTCCTCTTTCTGCAGCATCAGGCATAGTCTTATGTAAAAACACAACAAATTCATGGCCTGAGTTTATTCAACCAAAAGGCAATCATGTCCAGGTATATTGTTCTTTACCGAAGGTAAAGGCCAATTTGTACTGGTCTTCAGAACTTATCCTGACTGTCCAATACCCTTGGGCACAATCCAGCGCAGTAAAAATCTTGGCTCCCAAACATTGGCCAATATATGGCACGGGCCATATCATTCTGGATCCTGGCTATGTGAATGTCTGTAACACCACAGTCATAAGAATCCTTAGCAAACATATCCTTGAATTCCATATGGACTTCTTTTAACAGTTGGCGCTCTGGGTCATTAAAGCATCTGTCATCTAAGGATATTTGCTGCTGGACCTTTTCCAGAAATCCTGGGAATACTTCAGGTTGAAATATCATATGCTTCCTCAAGTCTGTCAGTGAGGTCATTGTTTGACCTACTAGCCTTATCAGTGGAGGACTGACAAAAACTTTTGGGGACTTTGATTTGGCCAACATTTTAGATTCAAAATGGCTCTTTTAGCAGCAGCAGCTGTTCAGTAGTCCCAAATTCTGTTTTTATTTCTGATACCACTTCGGACCATTTGTTTACACCTGTATCCCTAAAGCAAGTAAAGAAATACCTGTGCTTTGGCTCAAACACCCTTGGGACAAATTAAATTTTCTGTTTGTCAGAATTCAAACTTGGTCATCATCACCTCTTCATAGGTTTCTATGTGATCAATTACAGAAGGAGATCCTTTCTTAGTAAAGAGATCCATAGTTTTCTCAGTAAAGAGACCCACAAATTTTATCACTTTGGTGGTATCATACACTGGCTTTTGGATTTTCTCTTACTTTTGAGACGTTTATTAAGAGAATGGGTTTTAATTTAGGAAGATAACGTTCACTACTACTATTTCATCCTTATCTGAGAAATTACTGTAGTTACTCTCAGATTCTGAAGCCTCTGGTTTTAATGGGTTTACAATTTTAGGCTTCACAGGATAGTCTGGGTGTGAGCTGACATTTGTTCTCTGACAAGCAGAAGGTTTAACCTTTGTACTGCTAGCTTTTTAATTCCTGTATCAACTGCTGATATGCATGGTTTTGGACATCTAACTTTGCTGGAAATGGGTATTCGCAATGCTCAGCTTTTCAGATTCTCGTTCTAAAGTTGATTTTATCCCTTTACACTCAGACAATTCATCAGAGATCTGCTCTAGATTATTTCTTAAATAAGCAATCAATTCATTATTTTGGAAATCTTTTTTCTTAAATTTCAACATTTTAGCTGACAATTGTTCTATCTTATCAGAGATGTGTGTGTAGATTGATCTTCCAATTTATGGAGTGTTCTTTGTAAATTTTAAACGTTATCAGCCTCTTGTCTGCTATCCAATTTTGCTTAGTTTAATTGTTCTGCCAATTCAAAAATTACAAAAAGAAATTCTGGCCAAGATGTAAACAGCCATGTTTCTTTTTCTCTCTTTGTTTTAGACTCAGCTATTTTATACAGATAGCAAGCAACACGTGAATCATCAGACCAGTTATCATTTGCATACCCGGCAATCCTACTCTGCATTTCAGTTACCCAATCATTAATATCCTGCTTAATGTCCAACTTATCATTCACAAAAGACATCACCTGAAATTTCACCAATTCAACATCTCTCTGACTCAAAATAGCTTCAGATTCTGCACCAGAATGGCTAGATTTACTAGGAACGCTTTTAAGATCAGGCATTTTCTGTAAATGCAAACTAATAAAAGCACTTTCCAAACCAAGAAAATGACAATAAAAATATATATACTTGCACAATTATATTTTTCTATCTGTTTCAAATGTAGGCAAATCTTGGTGGGACCTCCAAAATATGTCAGAATGTTAGCTTTGAGAAAATAGACAGTATACAGTTTATGAAAACAGGTGGGGATCTGGAATGAAGGCGATTCCCTACTAATTTTCACAAAAATCAACTGATAATCTGAGTTCTTTATTTGCACCAATATGAAGATGAAATAAAAAGCAATAATGTGCAAAAATATATATTTATTAATGATAAAAATCAGTGCAAAACGGTAATGAAATATAATAGGTGATGATAAATAATAAAATTCAAACCAGCAATTACTTTCAAATATTAATGAATTGAAATCAGCTGTCTAGAAATTGCAGCAGGTGACTTTCAGTAACTCAGCAACATGTGGAAACAGCTATGCAAATCGACCACATGATCTCTCTACAATCAGATATTCAAAGCTCAATGAGTACCTTGGCATGAATTTCTTAAGAATACCATACACAGGCCAATCCAATCAGCCTAGAATCTATCTGAGGTCCAGATCTACTGTTAGTGTTAGTTTACTTTATCATATAAATATGCGTATATATATATA